TCATCTAGAAAGCTTAATGGAGAGAATATGTAATAAAAATATAAAAAAATACTTGTGAAAAACAGAAAAAGCAAGTGCATGAAAAGAGCAAAAGTACTAAATACCTTGGTTAAGCCATAACATTTATTTGAGGGAAATCGACTTTTGATGCAAGATAATTAGCTAGTTGAGTCTTGGAGGTCGAAGCAATCAAATAATTGGAGAATCCCTGCTCACTGAAGTGTTGACTTGTAATTAGTAACGTTCACCTAAACTCGAGAAGGTGAGGATAGTAATGAAATACTCAACCTTAGAATACACACTGGAAAAGAGTGAAAAAGAATAAGTTTCGGGGTGTATGAATCTTACGAGTGATGAAAGGACATATATGATCATTAAGGGTCGGGAATTGAAACAACTTGTGCAATCATTGTTGATTACTCGATTCTTCACACACACACGTCAAATTTTACATTGGAAGAGTGGATATTCGTTTGGGTGCGATGCCCATCACTAGAAAAGGCTACTGCGTCTACTTATTGTAGACGACTGATGGTGATCAAGGCAACGCGTTTCATGTGAGCGTGAAGGTCATAGCTAGATCTTAGGTGTAGATCAAATCTCGTTTCATTTCAACGGCCTAGATTGATGATGCGACGGATAGCCTAGATTGATTGCATTTGAATTCAACGGTGGAGATCAGTTAGGACGCTCTATAAAAGGCGAACTTGAACGTTTTTGGAGCTTTTCACTTTTATGAAATCAAAAACCTCATTTGCTCTCAAAATCTTTGCATTTTTTGACCTTTTTCAAGTACTTTTCGACGAGAAATCCCAGTTTTTGACGACCTACGTTGTTTCTTGACCATTTTCGACTGCGGGACACTCCATTTCGAAAGTTTCAGTAAGTATTTGAAAATTTTCATTTCTGAAAATGGCTTCTAAGGGTAGTGGTAGCTCGGAGAGGGGTTTGGAACTAGTGAGGATGGACGAGCCCATTTTGACGACCTCCTCTGAAATAGCCAAAGCGATTATTGGGGGGAGAACATATGGAAGAGACCAGATAGCCCAGTAGACACGTCTGTGCATTAGAGGGCATCGGATTATCCCTCTAAGTTAAAGGGTGCCGACCTGGAATGACTTAGGGCTAAATATAGGATCTCAGATAGTGTAGATCTGATCATACTTGAACCTGATGAGCATGCCTGCTACCCTAGACTAGGGTGCGTGGCAATCAGCGAGGCAATTCTTAGCGCTGGCCTTAGGCTCCTAGTCTATCCTTTCTTCCGTATGGTACTTAGGTCATACGGCTTAGCTCCTACCCAATTGAACCCGAACTTCTAGAGCCAAATGGTGGGCTCCTGGATGTTGTGGAAGGAGGCATCGCTTGGGGTAGAGATATCTTTTCTGTATTCCAGACCCTCTACATCCCCAAGGTAGTGGCTGGGGGGAATAAGACCAGGTGCTGGTATTACTTGACCTCATGGGGTTCCCACACTCCATTCGTGCTTGATTTACCCAGCTCCATTAAAGAGTGGAAGAGCTCATAATGCTGGGCTGCTGAGAGATGGGACACGATGGAGGAGGACCCCCTGGCGCCTCTTACGATCCCTATGAAGTATTCAACACTTAGTGAGTATTGTGGTTTTGTGTTTCTTGTTTATCCTTCTTCGGTTCGGTTCTTAACTACTCTATTTTTTTTCGAAGGCACTCTTCCTCGGTGTGAGTTATCCATCGATGACTTCAACATCATCTGCATCATTTACCAGCTGCCTCCAAAGAGGATATCATACCACCAGCTGATCAAAAAAACATCCAATTTTTTGATGCACGACTTGATGGCCTCTCAAGGTAAGTATCCCGAAGAAAATATCTTTTAGCACTTTCCGAACTATTGACCCTTGTACTAAAGTACTTGTTCCCTTCCAGATAACTTTAACAAGAAGCTCCCTCTGAGGCCAGACTTCATAACCATCCAAAAAATGGTGGCAGAGGCCAGAGCCTTGAAGACCTCCTCATCTGCATACAAAAAGTAGATGGAGGATCTAGTGGATGCTAGCAAAAGGCTCCAGCCTCCGACAAAGGAGGAGGTGGTGGAGAACACAGATGCAAACCTGCTGCGAAAGGGCAAGAAGCCTGCTGGCCCCTCGAAGCGTCCAATTGTGGCGAGGTGGCCTCCGGCTCTGAAGCAAACTACAATTTCTACCAAGGTGGTCATCTCAAAGAAGATGCCTGCGCCATCAGAGGGTAATCTTACCCCGGCCACATCGCTAGTAGCTACTCTGCCCATTGTCCTAGTGCCAGGTAGCTAAAGGGAAAAAGGGCCCGTCCCTCGAAGGAGGTGGACTTCTTGGGCACCAATTTAGAGGAGCCAGTGAAAGAAGTGTTGGAGGCTCTTTCTCCAGAGACGGCTGCGATGGTGATGGTCCACAATAAGTATTGGACCAAGGAATGGAGAGACCACACCACCTCCTATACTGTCGAGGACTTGGTTACAGCCAATAGTGCTTGTGTGGCCCGAGCCTTAAGCACAAGCATCCAACTTGAGGACTTGGTGAAAGACCTCAATGCTAAGAGGGTGGACCTCGCCCAGCACCTTGAGGAGGCGCTGCAATATGGTGACGCAGTAAGGGAGGCTCGGGCTAAGGTTGAGGAGGAATAGAGAGGAAGGAAGGAGACTGAGGCCCAGTTGGCAACTGCCAAGAGGACATAGAGCAGCTGAAGAAAGAGCTTTATGAAGTGGAGTGCCAGGTGGCTGCTATTACCCGAAGAGTTGATCATGCAAACGAGCACTACTGGCTCACCACGGAGGCTCTGGAGGCTTCCAATAAAGAAAAGGTGGAGCTGAGGCAGAGGGCATATGCCCAAGCTGAGGAGATCGCCTCTCTGACGGAGGAACTAAAGTTGGCAGGGGAGGTGGCTGTACAGAGCTTCATTGATCACTTCGAAGAGCATCCCCTGTACGATGACTTTGCAAACTTCTGAGCTTCTTGGAGAGCCCAAGGATTATTAGGTCGGCTGAAAGAAGTCCATCCTACTCTTGACATATCCTCATTAGAGGCAAAGTTCGGTGGACCTACTGGAGGTCGGCCTGATAGGTTCACCGAGGACGCTTCAGAGGCCCCTGGGATAGGTGAGGTGGAGGCTGGGGCGGAAGGTGCCCCAGTAGAATAGATTTAATCAATTTTTGTAATGGCTTTGGCCTCTTGTGTAATCCAATTCCAAATGAATGAAATGAAAATATTTTGTTAAGTATTGTTGCTTCTCCTTTTCTATTGTGTTGAGCTATTTATACTTAAGTGTATCAATGACAACCACTTAAGTAAACATTAAGCGCCTCTCACCAATAACCAGTTAATAGCAGAAGCTCGTATCAATTAACATATTCAAAAACTGAGGTAGCAATTTACTAACTGATGTGACTAACAACTGAGGTATCATTACTTAGAGGAGTTACATCACTCTTCACTAAGGCATTTTCAGCACTTAGTAAGATAGGAAAGTTACAAATGAGATCGGATCATGACGCACATTTACTAGACAACATTGAGATCGGATCGAAAAACAAGCTCATCATTGATAATACTTTCTCAAATGTTAAATGTTCCATTGATGAAGCAGTGTTTTTCCTGCCAGGTCGGGATTCCCTACGGACACGATAAGGACCCTCCCAATTCGGTCTCAACACTCCGAACTCGGTTGGCTTTGATGATTTGAAGACCCTTCTAAGGACGAGGTCCCCCAGACGAATAGTCCGATTTCTGACCTTGGAGTTATAATAACGGGTCATCTTTCTATGATATTTTGCTAAGTTCAATTGGGAGGCATCCCTCCTTTCTTCAAGGAGGTAGAGTTCGATCATTCGAGCCTCATCGTTACTAATCTCATTGAAGTGTATTCGACGGTGTGATGGGACTCCTCCTCAACTGGGCTCATGGCCTCAGCTCCGTAGGTCATTGAGAAGGGTGTCTCCCCTGTTGCAGTTTGGCTAGTTGTTCTAATGGTCCAGAGGATGTGGGGAAGCTCATCGACCCAAGCCCCCTTCGAGGTGCCAAGCTTCATTTTCAGAGTATGCTTGATAGTCTTATTTATTGTCTCAACTTGCCCGTTTGCTTGTGGGTAATGAGGCGTTGAGAAATCCTTCTTTATGCCCAGTTCGTAGCATAAGTCTCGCATTTTCTTGTTGTCGAACTGTCTCCCATTGTCGGACAGTAAGGAGTGGAGAATACCAACCCTGCAAATGATGTTCTTTTAGATGAATTTTGTAGTATTCGCCTCGGTGATCTTGGCAAGAGGTTCAGTTTCGACCTACTTGGGTTCACTGGCAACCTCAATTATGATCACGTTAACAGTTCGGGGCTCCGACTTTCACAGAGAATTTAAGTAACATGCCCTAGAGCCCATCTGGTCGTCTCGTGCCATAGCAATCCCATGTTCAGTAGGAAATTTCATACACAAGTAGCGGATGGAGGTGACAGCCCAAAGATCTTTCAAGGCAGGTCTGCCCAATACTCCATGGTAGATTGATCTGTGGTCTACCACCAAGAATTCCATGAAGTGTTGGACCACTAGAGGAGCTGAACCCATCTCGACGAGCAGAGTAATTCACCCTCGTGGGATGATGTTATCTCCAGTAAATTCGAATAGTGGATCGATCATGAGGATCAACCCATATTCAATTTGCATTGTGTCGAACAGTATATTCACCAAATTGCCATTGTCAACGACCATGCGTTTGAGCTCATTTCTTTCCACTACGGCTCTCACAACCAATGTGTCACAATGGGGGTGGTGAATTCCTTGTCCATCTTCCTGGGAGAAGGTGATTGGGGCCATCCTATTGGCCTCTTAGGACTCATTAACAATGTAAGTGAGCATTGGTGGGTCCTTTACTTCTCTTATGTAATTCTTTTGGGTGTTCTTGGTGTTTCCACTGATGTGAGGTCTCCCAATGATCGTTTCGATCTCCCTGATGATTTGGCCTCCATAAAATGGGGCCTGATCTCTCTGTCTGGACTCTCCTCAATCCCTTGATTCTCTTCTTCGAGGTGAATGCTCTCTGTGCCTTCTCTCTACCCTGTTCGGGGGAGGGGGGGCGGATCTGTGAGGATATTTGTTCTTCCTAGAGGGATATGGGTCATTTCGATCCGAGCGTCGAGGAATGTCTCTGCACTCGTTGGTGTCATGCCCATAGAGTTGGTGGAAAGAGCAAAACCTTGCTCCTTCCAAGGGCATGTTTGATCGCTTCTTCTTCTTCTTTTTATTACTATCAGTTCCTCCAGATGGCCCTGCTTCGCCAGGGAAATTCTCATATGCCAATTCCGGCACTACATTTAGTGTGGCAGAAGCCAGTGCCTATCCGAAAATGAGAACTATTGTATGCCCTGCTTGAGTCCATTGCTGAGTGACAAAGTGTGCTGCGGGTCCTCGACCTACCTGCCTCTGAGGCGAAGGGAGTCTTCGCACCGCACGGTTTTGGTAATCAATCATCTCTTCACTGACGATCTCCACTCTCATCATTTTTACCAGTTCATCATAAGTGGTGGGATTTTTGCTACGCACATCCCTCCAGAATAAAGTGTTCATGTTGAGGCTACCTTTCAAGGCTGAAAGGGTTTCTCTATTAGTGACCTGCTCGCAGTACGTGATTTCGTCTGTAAACCTAGCGAGATAGCTTTTTAGCATCTCCCCAAGGGCTTGCCTCATATCTTGCAAGCGTTGCACCGGGGCCTCTCCTTCTCTGCGTGAGAGGTACTGGTTCAAGAATGTTTTCTTCAAGTTCGGCCAAATCCCAATAGTCAGGGGAAGAAGTCTGCTGTACCAGACTTCAGTAGCTCCGCCCAGGGTTAAGTGGAAGGCTCTACATTTCAAAGCAGGCGAGGCTTCCCTAAGACTCATCTGTGTCATGTACTTGGTGAGGTACTTTTTCGGGTCCCCCTTTCCTTCATACTTGGGGATCTTAGGGGGCATGAAATTCGGAGGCATTGGGAAGCTTCGAATTTTCCTTGAGAAAGTGAGGTGATCATCATCATTGTCAATTTCATAAGATCGACAATGCCCATCTGACCCTTCATCGTCTTGAATGTTCTGGGGAGGTGGAGGTGCTTCTCCTCTGCTGCCCCAATAAACTAAGTCCCTTTTCTCCTTCCTATTTCTAGGAGGAGGATGTGCTTCTCCTTTGCTACTCCTGTTCTTATTGAATTGATCTTCGCACTGAGCGGACCCTATTACTAGGGTCTTACCCTATTCGGTCGAAGACGCTAACTAACCTTTGTACTCCATATTCTTGAGGGAAATTGTCTCCCTATTGTGGTTCTGCTGGCTGGCTCTCCTACACATATGATGTGGCTTCTGCGCCCACTTCTCTTTCGAGGGGTGTTCTCTGTACTGGCTCATATGGCCTCGAGAATGAGACGCGGGGGCTTTCTGAACTGGGTAAGATCCTTGGGGCATTTGAGAGCCCTAGTGACCTCGGGCTTGCATGAGGAGTTCATACATCGCCATATTCTGAGTTGCGATGTCTCTCATGCTCGTAGCTATTTGAGCCATTTCTTCAGTTAGCATGGCTGTTATTTCACATCAGCAACGTTGGTGATGGGTTCTCTGGTGAGTGACATTGTTACGGAGCACCTCTTCTTCAGATGCCTTTCTCATAGAATTGTCGTCTTCACGGCTGGAACGCATCTTGTTTCTTTTTTAAAAACGTGCCCTTTTCAGGTAAGTCGCTAGTTTTCCGATGATTTCTCCGGTGGAGAATGCAGAACTTTGGACGGGAAGTTTCCCACAGACGGCGCCAATCTGTTGACCTCGCAAATTGGACCCTCTACATGGTCAATCGATAGCTACTCCATGTATTTCTCCGTGCGCACAGTTAACACACAGTCGGAAGCAGTGAGGGTGGTGGCAGCCGCATACTCTTCGACGGTCAAGTTAGTCTCAGGTGATCGGAAAAATACCAAGGTGTGCAAAATAGTGGGGAGGAGAATATATACTTGCTTGTTATAGAAAGCTATGTTGTAAGAGTTTCATTACCTTTGCTTCTTGTCAAACCTTGGGTATTTATAGATGAGGAGAACCACTGGATGTGAGACACGTGTATGAATCTGGCAGTGAGAGGCGTCTGCTCATAGGCGTCAATCAGCCGCGTCTATAGAATGGGCGGATAATTACTTCTCCCGAATTGAGTTGACATAAAGTTGATACGTCATATCAACTAGGTTCATGGAGACGTCAAATCAATTAAACCTTAGGGGCAGAAAGGATCCTAACATAGATTTCTTTCTGAAATTGACAGTGGATCCTAGCAGAGGTCCTCGGAGTGCGCCTCGGCTTCAGGGGCGAGGACACTTCGGTTGATTCATCAGAATTGTCTACGCCTCACAGTACGTTAGGTGAAGTCACTTCGGAAATATTTCGGATCGGTGCTGAACACCTCATAATAGGCAGAGGTGGACTCTCCGAAATGGTTCGGATAGGGGCGTAACAACATCAATACCTCTTTTCTTTTCTTTGCTTTTCTTTTTTCTTTTTTCTTTTTTCTTTTCCTTCCATATTTTTTCAATTTCAACACCACTATATTGTAAGTTGTCCTTCTAATTTTTTAATATTTTACTAACACTGTCCTTTTCATATCCTTCTTCTTTCTTTCACTTCATAATTTTCTTCTCGTTTTCATTTTTAATGCTATTTTTGTCAATTTATAATTGGCCCAACTTTCGTTTTTCAGACATGGCGGGTCATAGTCCACTTGAAGTGGATCCACCTTCGATTTAAATGTTTATATACCATTTAATCAGTGACAAGCAACTTGATGTTTATAATTTTTATTTTTGTTTCTCATTCGAGGAACCAAAAATTTCATGTTCTGGTTTCTACTAATATTGCGTTTATTATGAAGAAATAACTACACATTCAATGTAAATATTTTTTGAACTGTACTCAAATTGTGTTCAGTCCGGATTATAATGGGCTATTTTCATGTCTAAAATTATAGATATTGAATTGTAATTAAAGTCAAGGAGTCAAGGGTTAGTAGTGTATGCAATGAATGAGTCAAAGAAGTCCAAGGTGAAAAATTAGCCACAAAATTGCTCATTGACTGCGCAGGAGGTGCCCAAGCATTATTTTAAGGTCGCCACTCACTAGGTTCGACCTTGGCACTTGAGTGGCTGATTTATCTAGCCAAACCTTGATCTTGATTTTGATTAGATTTAGGAATTCTATTCCACCTCAAACGCTTTATACCATACAAACAAAGTTTTTCAGTAAAAAAAAAAAAATATCGTACTTGTAATATGATTCTTAGTAATCTTATTTTTTATTTTTAAATTCTCATTTTGGCATCACATTTTCTAACTTGTTTTTGAGCTATATTCTTCATTTGTTCGGATATATTCTTGGTACCGCATTGAAGTTCTCACTAAAACTTCACAAATTTTAGACTGATCTATTGTTCAACTGCGATTTCAAAATGACAAACAAAATGGTCTGTTAGTAATGAAGGTATGTAATTATTTAATGGATAAAGATACTTGGTTATCATTTAATTCCTGTTTTGTATTACCTTTTTCAATTTATTTTCGGGCTATGTTCTTTATTCGTCAAGCTGGGTTCTTGATACCATTTCAAAAAATTCACAACAAACTTTGTAAAACATCTTCAATATTGAAGAACAAAATTAATAATAATAATAATAATAAGAAAGAAAAAAATCATTAAAAGGAACGAGTTCAAATAACAAGTCAAATAAAACTGCTAAAATTGGATATATAACTGAATGAAAATTTCATTTTAGACATCAATATGATTTAAAATTCTGTTCGTAGTCAATTTTGACTCATTTCACTCGTATAATTATGTTGCAAGTCTAATTATATTCTCTCCTCACAGTAAAATTTCACTTTTTCCTCATTTTGTCCATGTTTGGTCTCCATCTTCTAAAATTTATTTTTCCACAAATTCATTTTCAACTATGTATTTTATGAGATCCACTTTTTATCAAATTTTTAATCATATATTTCAGCAATTTTTATCAAAATTACTAAAAATCTAATTTTTATCTAAACCAAACAAGGGTAAAAACTTTCTTCGAAAATTTTGTTTTTGCTGCAGCATATTGCAAGATTTTCATATTATTATGTTACACCTTTACACTAATTACTTAGATGGGTTATACTATCCCGTGAAGAGCAAGAACGTCAAAACTTAAAAGAAGTGGCTAGTGGCTACTCTATATTATTCTGGGCATAAATTAGACCTCGATGAAGTAATCCAACATCTTGGTGTTGGTTACCATTTTGTAACCGTAATCAAAAAACCTCTAAAAGAAGTACATTTTGTAATCCAACATCTTGGTGTTGATTACCAATTTCTTGGTTACCATTTTGTGATCCAACATCTTGGTGTTGGTTACCATTTTGACACTTACCATGAAAATTATGGCAAACAAGACAATGATCTTCATATAATTGCTTTTGGATTTCGATTACTTAGACAGCAAGAATATTGCGTCTTGCGTGGTAAGAAAAACAAGTTTAGCATACAAAGAAACACAACCACAAACAAACACAAAATATGCTACGTAAAAAATTATTTGAACCCCTTTGCATGCACCTTGCGCATTTGTTAAGGACACATTTAATTTCTTTTTGGGTTGTAGCAGATATATTCAACAAATTCAAGGACCACATATTGAAACTTTATTGAACTTTAAACTTTATAAAACTGAAAAGTTTAAAACTCAAAAACCTAATTACTTTATTGTCAAGATCTTCCATTTCAAATCATCAAAAAATTAATAATACGGAATATATTTTAATTCTTTGAGAATGATTTTTTATTATTGGATCTTGATTCCAAATCTTGAATCTTGAAAATCAACTAGGAATCCCTTCTTGATTGGTTTCTTGCTTTGAATCTTGATTGCCTTGTTTGACTCTTTAATTTTTGTTCTTGGTTTTCTTCTTGATCCATAATCTCGATTATTGAATTTTTTCATCTTAATTCTTGATTGTAGATAGTCTATTCTTGATTGTTGATTTTTAGATTTTTCTCTTCAATATGTTTTCTCTATAATTCTTATGTTAATAGGATGACACAAAGAATGAAAAATTACATATGAATTGGAGACCATAATCCTATATATAGTTTTCATATGTATTTCGTCTAATATGAAATACAATTCTAAAGAAATTCGATCTCTGCACATATAATCCGAACTTTAACACCATTTACTTAATTCTTAAATAGATCAATTAAATGTTTGGACTGAACTTTAAAATAGCCTTTATACAAAATTAATTACATATGTTGGTCCACATGATAAACTAATATTTTTCTAACAATCTCCCACTTGGACCATGTATGTCACCTTATAAATGTGTACAATCTTATGAGCTCAATACTTTTGCCATCATAATCAAAATACATCTCTGAACAATCTCATCCATTAATCATCTAATATAGGATCAAAGCAGTCTTGTTACAAATATCATAACTAAAGCCTCAAAGGTCATATATATCAACACAATCAAATGACATCGATCAAATATGGATGAGTAACATGAAAATTACATGCAATGTAATCTAAACATGACTATTTACAACTGGTCCTACCTTATGAGATCAAACCATAACTTTAATCAAAGTGAAACTAAACTGATATTTTATTTCTGAAAAAACTGAATATCCATGGATAGAATTGTGTATCCAAAACAGATAACATCCGAATAAAAACTCCCGCTAAACTAACATATCATAAAAAATGCAACATTCGTGTGAACAGTATTCTCATGAAAGACCTTGAGTGATAGCCCTTCTGTAAGCGGATCTGCAACTATAGAGTTTGTCCTAATTATTTTATAGAAACTTAAACACTTTAAATTATTTCCTTAACAACTAAGAACTTA